ATAGTAGGATGATGAAGAACTTATCCTTTGATGTAGTCATGCTCATTTCCCTGGTTCTGGGGCATTTTTCTGGGGCATTTTTTCATTCTTTGCTGTGTGCATCTGTCTAAGTGAAGGGTGGGGTTCGTGGTGCACAAGGCAGGGAGTTGAGGACAGAGAACACTGGCATCGGGTGCACATTATTAAAATTAAAACATGGGCCAGGCACGGTGGCAGATGCCTGTAATCCTAGCACTTTGGGAGGCCAAGGCGAGTGGATTGTCAGAGCTCAGGAGTTTGAGACCAGCCTGGGCAATGCAGCCAAACCCTGTCTCTACTAAAAAAAAAAACACAAAAAATTAGCTGAGTAGGGTAACGTGTACCTGTAGTCCCAGCTACTCAGGAGGCTGAAGCATAAGAACTGCTTGAACCTGGGAGGCAGTGGTTGCAGTGAGCTGAGATCACGCCACTGGACCCCAGCCTGGGCGACAGAGTGAGAATCTATCTCAAAAAAAAAGCAAATAAAATTATAACAGGCAAACTGTTACTGGCTAGGGAACTCCTATGTTGAATAAACAAACCTGATATATAAAGAATTCTGAGGTGTGCTTCACAGGTCATCACACACAGCTTCTGGCCTTCTGCTGGGGTCTGGCCCAGCCCTGTGCTCGGGTAAGGACAGAAGGCTCTGGGTGATGCCCCGTGAAGGAGAACCCAGCAGCTGGGCGTTCTTTTGTGCGGTGATGGTAACGCTTATCCACTGGTCTCATGGCTGGCTCTGCTTTGCTGCACAGCTCTGTCTCCCACTCCGTGCTGTCTGAGATGCAGGTGATCGAGCAGGAAACCCCAGTGAATGCAAAATCTTCTCGCTCGCAGCTGGACTTGTTTGACGATGTTGGTACTTTCGCCTCTGGACCCCCCAAGTAAGGCTGTTGTTGAGCTGTAAACTTGGCTGCTGTGTTCCTCGTCGGGCTTCTCTGAGCCTAACTCTACTGTCTCCCTAGGTACAAGGACAACCCCTTTTCCTTAGGAGAAAGCTTTGGTTCCCGCTGGGATACAGATGCTGCCTGGGGTATGGACAGGGTAGAGAAGGAACCAGAAGTGACCATCTCAAGCATCCGGCCTATTTCAGAAAGGTAGTGCGGACTTTTTTTTTTTTTTTTTTTTTTTTAAAACAAGCTGAAGGTAGAGAAGTCTAAGGCAGCACTGTCTAGTAGAACTTTCTGTGATGGTGGAAATGTTTTCGGTTTATCTGTATTGTTCAGTATGGTAGCCACTACTGTGTGGCTGTGAGCCCTTAAAAGGTGGTTGGTGCAACTGAGGAACTGAATTTCTAATGTAATTCAATTTCTGATCAACGCAAATAGGCACATGTGGCTGGTGCCTGCCTCATCAGACACTGCAGCAATCAGGGGTTTGGTTTGAGCTGTGCTTTGTCGTCACAGAGGGCCTGGCAGCTCTGTTGCTTGGGGTCCATTTCTCTGGCAGGAGGGGCCTGATTTTATGCTTCAGTCCTGACTTCCTTTCAAGGGTTTTATGTCTCCAGCCCTCTTCTTACTAATTTTTTGAAAACCCTACTCCATCTTAATTTGGGATCTGTTTAGTTGACAAATATATCTGTGAGTTATCCACTTATAAAAGGGGAATGTAACTACTTCATGGTGTCTCTGGAAATACCTGGGCCAGTGTCCACAAAATCAGCACTAGATGACAGTGACCATCTCCCTTTTCACACCAGGATGCTTCTGAGAGTAAAGGAGGCAGTTTGTTAGTCATGGTTATGACGAGTAGGTATAAAGCCAGGCAGACCGACACATGCTCACTGTAGCACCAGGCAAGTTGTCACTAGGCATAGGGTAGCGGCAGTTGTGTGGGCTCTTGAATGCTGGTGAAGCTGTAGTGCTGTGGGGCAGGAGCCTAGGCAGCTGCAGACTGTTTTCCACACTGCCTAGTGCAGGTTTCTAAGCTCTCTGGGTCTTGGCCTCAGTGTGGAGAAGGGAGGCTCCTCACTAGGGGAGAGGGCCTGAGTCACAGAGCCACAGACAGAATGGGACCCGGTAACCCATCTCCAAAAGGCCACTGGTGCTTCCTTTGATCTCTGTCCTCTGCCTCCCCTGATGGTAATGAGAGGGGCCTGAGATGTTCCCCATCTTTCCGTCAGGGCCACAAACCGGAGGGAGGTGGAGAGCCGGAGCACAGGCCTCGAGTCTAGTGAGGCGCGTCAGAAATTTGCAGGAGCCAAAGCCATCTCATCTGACATGTTCTTTGGGCGGGAGGTGGATGCGGAGGTAAGTGGGGTTGTCTGCCCTGGGGCCGAGGCAGTGGGCAGAAACATGAGCTTTCTCCCTGCCACTGCTTTAGGCTTTATAGCACCAGGCCTGGCCTGTGTGAGTCCTTGGGTTCTTGGCCCCAAGATCCCCAGGCCTGGCCTTTTCCTTACTACAGTATGAGGCTAGGTCTCGGCTGCAGCAGCTCTCAGGCAGCAGTGCCATCAGCTCTTCAGACCTCTTTGGGGACATGGACGGAGCTCACGGAGCAGGTAGGGCCCTGGTAGGGTGGCAGGCACCAAGCAATGCCTGGGAGCAGGGTGGGAGGGCCCTCCTGTGACTGGGAAGAGCTTCCTGCTGGGCTTGGGGTCACCCTGCTCTTGCTTTTACAGGAAGTGTATCTCTGGGGAACGTGCTGCCTACAGCGGACATTGCCCAGTTTAAGCAGGGTGTCAAGTCTGTGGCTGGGAAGATGGCTGTGCTGGCCAATGGTGTGATGAATTCCTTGCAGGTGAGGCTGGGGTGAGGCCTAATGAGGAGTGCTGGGAGGTTCACCCTTCGCCACCACATGGAGACATTACTACTGCGCAGCCCCTCTGAGCCTTAGAGCATTTTCAGCCGAGGGCGGTGGCTCACGCCTGTAATCCCAGCACTAGGAGGCTGAGATGGGTGGATCACCTGAGGTCAGGAATGTGAGACCAGCCTGACAACATGAGGAAATCCCATCTCTACTAAAAATACAAAATTAGCTGGGCGTGGTGGCGGGCACCTGAAATCGCAGCTACTCGGGAGGCTGAGGCAGGAGAACTGCTTGAACCTGTAGGTGGAGGTTGCAGTGAGCCAAGATGAGACCACTGCACTCCAGCCTGGGCAACAAGAGTGAAACTCTTTCTCAAAAAAAAAAAAAAAAAAAAAAGAGTCTAGAGAGGCATTTTCTTTTCTTGGAGGGCAGCTTCCTTCCTTTCAGCTCCATGCCAGGGCCAGGCCTCTCCAGGATGCTGCTGCGTCTGTCACGCTCTTCCACAGCCTTGTTACCTGTTTGGCTTTCTCTTCCCTTCCCAGCTGCTTTGAGGTCGGGCAGGGCTTCCCCCTTGCTGGGTGCCTGAGTGGCCCCTGCCCCAGCTCTCACCGTGGACTGCCGCCTCATCGGCTGTCCAGCCCCTGCCTCCCCAGACTGGCCATGGGGTGTGTGCTGGGGCAGGCAGTGTGTGTGCCGGGAAGCTGCTGCAATTTAGAGCCTCTGACTTTGGTTCTCTTCCCTCACTCTCAGGATCGCTACGGTTCCTACTGATCCGAGCTCTGTGACTCAGGCATACGGTGGTGACAGCAGCAAGAACTCCACAGATCCCAGGCCGCGGATGCTTGCCTTGTGAAAGCTGGGGAGGATTTGTTACTTTGTATGTGTGGTGTGTGCGTGGGGTAGCCTATGAGGCCACCTGTGAGGGGAATGGTCAGTACCAGCCCTTGACCTCTGCCTGTGGACTGAGCCCCTTATTGCCCCCACACACAAACCGTGTGTTCGCCTCTTGTCCTTCTGTCCTGCCCCCACAGCTGCTGCTCACTTGTCCTGCCACACTGGGAGAGGGGTTCCCCCAGGATGGCTTATTCTGGGTCCAGCCTTTCCACAAGTAGGGAAAGCGGAAGGTAGAAGGCTTTTGTGCTGGCTCTAGGGTTCTTCTAGCTCAAGGGCTTGGGCCTCCATCCTCCGGAACTGGAGGAGGCCTGGAAGGAGTTCACTGTAGACCCGTCCTCTGGGGAAAGAGGCTGCGGACTTGTTGCTGCTGCTGTCAGCGGCCTCTTCTGGGTGCCAGGAGAGGGTGAGGGAGGGGAAGGACCTTTGGGCTTTACTAAGGGCTGGGAACTTTACCTGGTACCTAAAGGTTTCATTCAGGATCAGACTGGAGGCCTGAGTGGTCTCCCGTCTCACCACCACTTTCTGCGGTAAGCACTTGGAAGATGACTTCCAGGAGTCTCAGGGTCCTTCTGTACCATCTACTGTGGGCCACAGGACCCTCTGTGACATTCTGTGTCCCTTCTTCCCCTGGTTGGTGGCCACAGAGGGTCTGGTCTGCTGTTTGTCAACTCTGGATGCTGTGAGCTGATGCTGGCCAGGGAAGCAGACGGTGTGAGGGGCAGAGGCAGGCTCCCAAGGCTCAGCTCCTTCCTCTGCATCATTCTGGGCTTGGGGGCCTGGATGGCACCTGCCAGTGACAGCTTGTGGGCCTCACCCTCTGGGAGCTGAGCCATGCGCTGTGACATTCTTGGTGCCATCTTCCCCTGTTGCGCCGGCAGTCTCGGCCCAGCCCCCACCTTTGGGTTGTAGGTTGGGCTCCCAAGCAACACAGACGACTCCTCCCCCTTGCCCCACCCCCAGAGGGACATGACTTTCTTTCTGGACTGTTTGTATTAAAGCGAAGTGGTGTCAAAATAAAGCCCCTGCAGGGCCTGGCTCCCTGTTGGTCTGAGTGAAGCAGTGTCCTCTGGATCCTGCCTCCCTGCACAGGGCTGGCCCCTGGCCTCACTCTCGGGGCTCCCACTGATAATGGTAGGGCGTCAGTACCGAAGCTGAGGGCACTCTCTCCGGGGCCTCCTGCTTCTCTCTTCTCTGAAAGCCAAAGGCCCCTGGCTCCTTGGCTCTGTGCTGCCGTGAGGTCCGGTGCAGCCTCGACCTCACCACCCTGTGGCACGCAGAGGAAAGAGCTGGCATTAGTTGGCCATTTAACTCACTGGCTGGGGGCGGGCAAGCAACCTCAGCAGCCCTGCCCCTTGTCACAGCGGTAGGCTTGACTGGTGGGTTTCAATGGAGCTTATTTAAGGCTGGGTATGGTGACTCACGCCTGTCATCCCAGCGCTTTGGGGGACAAGGCGGGTGGATCACTTGAGGCCAGGAATTCAAAACCAGCCTGGCCAACATAGCGAAACCCCATTTATACTGAAAGTACCAAAATTAGCCAGGCATGGTGGCACATGCCTGTAATCCCAGCTACTTGAGAGGCTGAAGCATGAGAGTCGCTTGAACCCGGAAGGCGGAGTTTGCAGTGAGCCCAGATCATGCCGCTGTACTCCAGCCTGGGTGACAGAGTGAGACTCTCAAAAAAAAAAAAAAAAAAAAAAATTGTGTGTGTGTGTGTGTGTGTATGTACATACATAAACCCAGACTTTAATGGGACCCTTTAAATTCAGGAAGAAAAGATGTATTTGTGTGTAAACCCTTAGCTAGGCCACTCCTTTCCCTCGGGGCTTCTTAAATCTCTGCCACCTAAAGAACCCTTAAGGTAGTTACCACTGGGCTGGGAAGTGGATGATTAGAAAGAATGGGTAGAAGGAAACCTACACTCTGCAAATGTTAAGCCAGGTATTTGCAGAATGTAGGTTTGGGACCCATACAGCTTTGTAATGTGCATTGTCAATAGGTGTCACTGAGTCTGAGGACACCAGGATTTGAGAACCGTCTCTTACATGCTGTAGGTCACTGTGGGCCTAGAGAGCTCATCACACAGCCTGAGCTTTTTTTTTAAAGAAAGGGTCTCATACTATATGTCACTCAGGCTGGAGTGCAGTGGCATGATCACGGCTTACTGCAGCCTCAACCTCCTGGGCTCAAGTGATCCTCCTACCTTGGCCTCCCAAGCAGCTGGGACTATAGGTGCAAGCTACCATGCCTGCGTAATTTTTTGTTTTGTAGAGATAGGGTCTCTCTATGTTGCCCAGGGTGGGCTTGAACTCCTGGGCTCAAGCAGTCGGCCCACCTTGGCCTCCCAAAGTGTTGGGATTACAGGCAATGAGCCACCACACCCTGGAGCTTCTTAGGGGCTGGAATGCTCATTCTTGGCCTCCACCCTGCAGGGGTTTGGGAGGCAGTTCTTGTAATGATCCATTCTGGGTAGGGATGGGGCCAGGGCAATGTGTATGCCTAATAGTGGTGACATCCACCTTCAGGGGAGGTAGCCCTGTTCTTCTTGGGTCTCTGGGTGGGTTTGGCTTTCTGTCCCCCCCCCCCCCACCGAAGACCTCAATCCAAAGAAGCTGAAGACCACTTTTCCTTACCTGCCTCCCGTCCTGGCTGGGATGTGTCTACCCCAGGCTTGTGTCTTTCACGGCTGCGTGCCACTGCCCTAACCCCAAGCAGGTGCTTGGCAGGTGTTGACTGAAACTCTGGCTCAAAGGCTATGCAGTATTAACCCTTTGTGGCCACAGTCTTTAAAGTTATGGGAACCTGGCCTTGAACTCTCTGAACTTGTTTCCTAAAGGCCATTGCAGCTGTGAGCACCTCTCCTCTGGAAGGCTGCTCTTGGGAGAAGCTAGGCCCCACTGCCCATTATCTGAGGCAGGTCCCGCGCCTGAGTGGGCCACTGGCCCCTACCTCCTCGTCCTGCCAGAAAAGCAATGGAGATCCAAACTGCCCTTTTCCCTTCTCCCCCCAACCTGGGAGCTTTAGACTCACCACTTACCAGACACGAGGAAGTTTATTCGTTTCACATTTAGCTATTAGACACAAAGGGGACTTGAAGCAGTTTTTGCAAGTGAAATTGCCTTGCCCACCCTTCTCCGTCCTACCAAGGCTAGTGGCTGTTCTCCAGTAGAAGGCCACAGTGACCATGTCCTCCTGGTACTTGTGTCACAGGTGTCACCCTTGATGGTGCAAGGCCCTGCGTGGCTATATGGGTTCTCCCCTTAATGGAGTGGCTGTGAGGAGATGAACCTTATCAGGGGACCGGCAGAGGCTGGCTCAGAAGAGACTGCTCTTCTTAAGAGGTTAGCAGGACTAACAGGCTACGGCCGAGTCCCCTTCCTAGTGAAAAGGTGGCTTCAGCACAATCTGTCAGCCTGGGGCCTGAGTGGAGTTCACAGGCTGACAGGACCGGGGAGAGCAGGCAGTTCACCTTCCGGGCCATGGGCTGGGCTGCTCATCAGAGCCCCTCTGGCCGGTCTTGGGGCTGTTATTCGCCTTGTCAGCAGCAGAGGGCAGCACAGCAAAGTGCTGGAGAGGAGGCTGGGTGGGTGTGCCAAGGGCTGGGTGGGAGCAGGTACAGGGTGCTGCGGGCAGGACCCTTCAGACTCCTCAAGCCTCCGACTCGTCTGTCTCTTCGGTGGAGCCATCACTCTCTCCATCCACTTTTCGGGAATGATGGAGGGGTCTCCAAGGGGAGCCAACCCGGGGAGGGGTCCGGGAAGGTAGGCAACTGGCCTCTGGACTGGCTGTGACAGAGTTGACCAGGCCTGGGACCTGGGCCAGCCTGAAGAAGGGAAGAAGCCTGGAGGGCAGCGAGAGTCCTGTCCAGAGAGCAGGACCTCCATGCTCACTCTTACACTAGGGGAACCCCTGGGCTGCAGCCCCCAAAAGACTCAGAGGGAGGGACATCTCAGGCCTCTGCTGGCCCCCACACCCTTCCCTGGCTGATGCAGGACGTTATAGACAAGTGCTGTTGGCCCCATATGGGGCACAGCCGTGTCCGACCCGTCTGGCCCCCACAAGGGGGCAGCATCTTCCCACTTGACACTTACAGCCGTTCCAGCTCCTCGTCCATGGCTGGGTCATGCATCAGATCCCCCTTGTCAGGCAAAGCTCCTAGGAGATCATTGGGAGCACAGTAGTTAATCTGATGGCCCCTCAGCCAGGTGACAGATGCCACCAGGCCCCTCACCTTCACGGCTGCCTGTCCTGCTGACCGTGGGAGGGCTGATCTAAAGATCTGAGGACTGCTAGAGGGGCCAAAGAACAGTCGCAGAGCAGGAAGGTCCTGGTTGCTGCTTGATACATTTATTGAATCCTAATGCCTACTTTCCTCTCCTGGGGCAGAGACCACAGCCAAGGAGACATCCCCAAACAAACGTGATCCTCTTTTAAGGCCAGGTGGTGGTTGTAACCTGGTGCAACAATCAAGGTGACCCCACTTTGGAGACAGATGGTTAAAAAAAAAAAAATGCTGCCTCTGCTCCTCCAAGGAGAATCTCAGGGGCAAGAGAAGGCTGGGTCAGGACCAGAATCACCCACCTGGCATAGGCCAGTTTCCAGTTTGACCAAATCTTTTTCAGATGCCTCCTGGCCCCTCTTGCACTGTTGGTGTTTTTCAAACTACGTCCTATGGGACCCTCTCATCTGGGGGGCGCCCTGGGGACTAAGGGAACAGGGCTGACCTCCATGACTGGTCTCAACCAGTGTGTCTCCAGATTTCTATTTCATAGCTGAAGATGCAGGTGAGGCCCGAGATCACATCCTTCTTTCTGTCTCCCATTCCACCCAGCCATCCAACGTTAGTGCTCAGTAAAAGTGGCTAAATGAGGCCAGATGTGGCTCATGCCTGAAATCCCAGCACTTTGGGAGGCTGAGGTGAGTGGATCACCTGAGGTCAGGAGTTCAAAACCAGCCTGACCAACATGGAGAAACCCCATATTTAATAAAAAAATACAAAAAATTATCTGGGAGTGGTGGTGGGCGCTTGTAATCCCAGCTACTCGGGAGGCTGAGGCAGGAGAATCACTTGAACCCAGGAGGTGGAGGTTGCAGTGAGCAGAGATCAAACCATTGTACTCCGGCCTGGGTGACAGAGTAAGACTACATTTCAAAAAAAAAAAAAAAAGGGGTTTACAAAGGGGGGGGGGGGGGGCCTTTTTTTTTTTTTTTTTTTTTTTAAGACAAGTCTTGTCACCCAGGCTGGAGTGTGATTATGGCTGACTTGGCTCACTGCAGCCTTGACCTCCCAGGCCCAAATAATCTTCCCACCTCAGCCTCCTGAGTAGCTGAGGCCAGTGGTATGTGCCACCACACCCAGCTAATTTTTCTTAAGAGATGGGAGTTCTCCCTATATTGCTCAGGCTGGTCGTGAATTCGGGGGCTCAAGTGATTCTCTTGCCTCACCTTCCCAAAATGCTGGGATTATGGTGGAGCCACCATGTCTAGCTATTAGTGTCCTATTTATTTATTTATTTGAGACAGAGTCTTGCTCTGTTGCCCAGGCTTGAGTGCAGTGGCACAATCTTGGCACACTGCAACCTCTACCTCCTGGGTTCATGTGATTATCCTACCTCAGCCTCCCAAGTAGCTGGGACTATAGCCGCCCGCCACCACGGCAGGCTAATTTTTGTATTTTTAGTAGAGATGGGGCTTCACCATATTGGCCAGGCTGCTCTTGAACTCCTGACCTTGTGATCCACCCACCTCGGCCTCCCAAAGTGCTGGGATTACAGGCATGAGCCACTGTGCCTGGCCATGTCCTTTTTATGTTTGTTTATTTAGAAATGGAGTTTCGCTCTTGTTGCCCAGGCTGGAGTGTGACCTCGGCTCACCACCACCTCTGCCTCCCGGGTTCAAGTGATTCTCCTGTGTCAGCCTCCCAAGTAGCTGGGATTACAGACATGCGCCACCACGCCCAGCTAATTTTGTATCTTTAGTAGAGATGGGGTTTCTCCATGTTGGTCAGGCTAGTCTCAAACTCCCGACCTTAGGTGATCTGCTCGCCTTGGCCTCCC